CTGATTTTCTCAGGATCAACTTTTAAACCACTGGATGATATCAGATGACCCATATAGGAGACTTCAGTTTGATTTGTCGTTCTCTACAACGATTCATTAGAGATGTGAATTTCTTGTCATGATCAAGAATAGCAGCAGAGTCAGTATCACCAACACCATAAACAATTATATCATCATGAATAGCTTTAACTCCAGATAGACCTTCTAGAGCTATATCCATTTGTCTTTGGAATTCTTCAGGGGCTGGAGAGATACCAAAGGGCATACGTTTCCATCTAAAGCGACCCCATGGTGTACCAAAAGTAGTGAGGTAACTGCTTTCTTCTGACAATTCACAATGCCAAAAACCATTCTTAGCATCTAAGACTGAGAATACACGAGCTTTAGATAGATCAGATAAGAGATCTTCTATAGTAGGAGTTGGATAATGGTTTCAACGAAGAGCTTTATTCAAAGGTTTTGGATCTATACATAGCCTTAGTTTACCAGAAGGTTTGGTTATGACCACCATGCTAGATATCCAATCTGTAGGAGTTGAAACTGGAGTAAGAACATCAAGATCAGTAAGTCGTTGAAGTTCCAATTTCACTTTATCTTTGATAGCTAAAGGCAATTTTCTAGTAAGAAGTTGCACAGGAGTAATAGACTTCTTCAAGTTGAGTTGGCCTTTAAATTTTCCTTCACCTTTGAAGACATCTTGGTATTTAGATAACACAGATTCTAGAGATATACTAGAATTATCAACATAGGTTGACATAGAGTTCAGATTAGGTTCAGTCAAATCTTTAGAAATGAGTTCAGAGTTTACAGTAATGAGTCCCATTTCCTGTATAGACCTAGAGCCTAGAATTGGTTGAAGAGCTTCATCCACTATCAAGAATTCAAGTTGATAATCTTTAGAGTTTACCGGATTCTTTACTTTGATGTGGCATTTTCCAATTGGCTTGAGTGTAGACTTGTTAAACATCACAAGAGTAGTGTTAGATTTCTCCAAGTTTTCAGGTTTAAAGATTTCAGAGTAAATCTTTCTAGAGAGTACATTCACAGTTGAACCACAATCTAACAGAAATTCTACCTTACTATTACCAATAGCCATAATAGCTTTCAGTTTCTTTGTTGGTAAATCATTAACAGAGTTAATATAGTCTAGGGCAAGCAAATTTTCATCACTTGAGTCAGAGTTTAGAACAGATTTTTCTTTTAATGTCGAAGGACATTTTGCACGAAAATGGTTTTTACCACCACAAAGATTACATATCTGTTTCCAGACAGGACAGAGTTCCTTCTGTAAAATATGTTTATGAGTACAAAATTTACATTCTTGAGGAGTAGTAGATGTAGAGCCTTTAGAAGACTTATGAGATGTAGGAGTTTTCCTATTTTCAGCAGGCTTTGAAGATTTCTTGACATATCTGGCAGGCTTAGTTGACTTAATGTATGAAACTTCTTCTTGTGTCATAGATTTCAGTTGATTAGCTGTAGTTTCACTAGCTCTGCAAATATCAATAGCTGATTGTAGAGTAAGTCTATGATCTTGCAACAGTTTCTTGCGAGTCGTGTTGTTTCGGATTCCAATCACAATCCTGTCACGAATTAGACTATTTTCTAGAACACCATAGTTACAGGTTCTAGTCAGAGTTCTAAGTGCTGCGACATAAGCATCAACAGTTTCAGTTTCACCTTGATCTCGCTTATTGAAAAGATAGAGTTCATAAGTTTCATTGGTTTGATCCAAACAAAATCTTTCAAACTTCTGTATAATTTGATCAATATCTTCACGATCAGCAGGATTCGCAAAAGTAAGACCATCATAAATCGCTAGAGCATCAGGTCCCAAACACGTAAGAAGTGTTGCAGTCCTCTGCCTCATATCACGATTAATCAAAAGACTGGCTATTTCATACTGTTCCCACACACGTTTGAACTGTTTCGAGTTTGTAGCAATGTTTCCCTTCAAATTAAGTTGAGGTGGAAAAGGAATGTTCATAGGTACAGGTATTTGTACTTGTTGAACTTGATTGTCCATCTTAGTTGAGATTGTTCAATGTGGTGTGAGATGACCTTTAACTTCAGCGCGAAGAAAGGAATGTGTGTGACGTCATAGATTCACACACCTTCACCAGAATTTTGATGATTTTAAGCTCACCAAAGGTTTTAATCAGTAAAACCTATTGTAGACAGAGTCTTTGGGTTAGTCTCGACACGCTTCTGACACCATGTAACGTTGTTGTCTTGTATGTTAAGTTGGTGAGCCAGAGAAGACTAGAGAGTTTTAACAACGTTTTTTATTAGAGAGAGACATACTGAGAACTTCCTTTTTACAGTGCGCATGCGAGGTACATTAAAGGGAGATAACAAGTAAATACAGTTAAACAGATATCGTTACAACCTCCTAAATCTACAGGACTAACACCTAGTCATTTGGGATCATTCGTTTTATCTCACAGTAAAAAAATAATGAATAATTTTATTCACGTCATAAATGGATTTTATAAGCCTGAAATATACTATACAGATACTGATAGTTTATACATTTCGTCTAGCAATTTCTTAAATGAAGCTGGGTTGGTGTCCGAAAATGATTATTGTAAAGGAAAGAATGATTACAGTGATGGTGGAATTATATTTGGTTTATATTTAGCGCCAAAAATTAAATACAATATCATTCTAACTTCCGATGGTGTTCTAAAAGAAATAAAAACGTTTAAGGGTTACTCTGAAGATAAGATAACCGTAGAAGATTATATTCGATTAGCTAGTGGACACGATGTAACAAATGAATTTAAGAAACCATGAGTAAAAAGTTTCACCAATGGAGTAGTTATTCCATAGGATGATGATAAACAAAAGTAAGTTTTTAGAAGTTATCTAAATCTAGTTAAGAGAAAAGCACCAAACAGTGAAGGAATCATGTATCCTTACAACGACGGAAAAGAATTGAACATGGATGAAAACTATGAATTTGATGATTTCGATTATCTAACTATTCAAGAAGAGAATGAAGAGTGTTAATGTTTTTGTTTTAAGTGAAGTTGAATAACAATTTCCTCGTTACCAAAATCTATAAACCTATTTTTACCATCTTTGATTTCCAGATTTATATCTTTAATCATAAAGGAATTAAGTGGTAAATACGTCGTTTGAAATGGTTTCTCTATAATTCTATATCCAATCGGTACAGTGAATGTTGGAAGACTGTAAATAATCTGACGTTTGTATTTATTGAAAAATCCACCGTTTATCAAATTGCAATGTATATTTATCACATCGATATCATTCTCGATATTAGCTTTGTGTGGTGCTAAAGTGGATTGGGTGTATATTCGTTTATCAAATCCTAGTAACGTATTCAATGAATTTTCTACGTTGAAATCAACTTGACTATTATTTCTTAATATCAATTTTATTTTGTTCAGATTCAAATTACCTTCGAATTCAATATTGTTTTTACCATTTACACTTCCTCCATATTCAGATAGGTATTCGTTAATGGCTATGTATTCATAGCTTCCTGGTAGTAAACGTATGGTTTTGAACGTAACTCCATTATCTGTTGATATTTTTATTTGATTATTTTTTTCGTTGATATTCCTAATGGAATTGTAAACAGAGAAATACTTTAATCCCAATTCATATTCTTGATTGCAATCGAGTTCGTACTCATAATTTCTTTTTTCCAAAAACAAGAGTTATCTCTCTTTCTAGACTAAAAATAACATTATTTAAAACGAGGCTATTAAAAATGTTATGTTATTTTTATATAAGGGTATTTTTAATATGCTTTTTTTTTGATGGAATGTAGGAAATTGATTGAAGGTGTTTTTTGGTGTAATAATTTATAGGGAGTTTAGGTCTTTTTATAGTGTAAGAATTTAAGAAATGAAGGGTATTTTTTAGTGTAAGAATTTTATGAAATGTAGGGTGTTTTGCTGTAAGAATTTATGAAATATAGGGAGTTATGTCTTTTTTGGGAGCTTATATATTGGTCGCATTTTCCCCATGAAATGAAATGGAATGGGGAATCCCCATGCGACCAATATAAAAGCTCATACACTACTTTGACTTTGTAAAAACGCGTCAAAATTTGTGAAAAATAGTTCGTGAGCATTATTGAAGCTACAGTTTTCAACCGATTCTGATGAAACTTGTGATCATTGGAATTGATAAGATCTCAGACAAGTTCTCACTTGATGCATTTTTGATGAACGGTTTTTGAGTTATTGCCCTTGACTTTGTAAAAACGCGTCAAAATTTGTGAAAAATAGTTCATGAGCATTATTGAAGCTACAGTTTTCAACCGATTCTGATGAAACTTGGTGTGATCATTGAAATTGATAAGATTTCGGACAAGTTCTAACTTGACGCATTTTCGATGAAATGTTTTTGAGTTATTGCCATTAACTTACGAAATATGCGTCAAAATTTGTTTGTGAGCACAATAGAAGCTACAGTTATCAACCGATTTTGATGAAACTTGGTGTGATCATTGGAATTGATAAGATCTCGGACAAGTTCTAACAAGAGATATTTTTGATGAAAATTTTTTGAGTTATTGCCCTTGACTTTGTAAACACGCGTCAAAAGTTGTTTTTTGCCCTTGATTAGAGCTGTGTGATTTAATTGTTTGTTGTATTTGGGTTATTGATATTGATTTTAAAAAATTTTGTGGAATTATTCAGCATAAATAATTTCTTCAATATGAGAAAATTCGTACTTTAGTCACTAAAGACTGTTTTATCATTTCTGACAGCTGCCAGTGGGCGTATGTTACCTTGCAACGCAAGCTATCTTATATATAACCAGGCCGGGTCAGTAGAATTGTGTAAAACATAGGAAAATTTAATATCAAATTGACTGTCAGTAGCCGAGACTGGAACTCTGAGATCTTTACAAGAATTGATTATTTTATACAATTGATTGATAAAAATCTTTTCTCTATTTTCTTCTTCTCTGTATAAATTGTTTTATTCTTGTTTTTCTATTTTTCTATTTTTCTCCAGGAATTGATCAAATGTGGTGAATTAATGAAATTATCTAGAAAAGAATTACAACCAAGAATGTTTTTTCTAGTAAGTTTTTATACGCCCACATGAATATGTGGTCGTATATTGTCGTCGCCCCTGTCCATCAGTCCGTCTGTCAACATTTCTTGTGAGCACTATAGAGACTACAGTTTTTATCTGATTTTGATAAAACTTGGTGTGATGCTTTAGATTGATAAGATCTCGGTCAAGTTCGAATTTGACATATTTTCGATGAACGGTTTTTGAGATATTGCCCTTGACTTAGAACGCATTGAAATTTGTTAAAAATTGTTCGTGAGCAGGATTGAAGCTACAATTTTCATCCGATTCTGATGAAACTTGGTGTGATCATTGGAATTGATAAGATCTCGGACAAGTTCTAACTTGACGCATTTTCGATGAACGGTTTTTGAGTTATTGCCCTTGACTTTGTTAAAACGGGTCGAAATTTGTTAAAAATAGTTCGTGAGCAGGATTGAAGCTACAGTTTTCAACCGATTCTGATGAAACTTGGTGTGAATGTGATCATTGGAATTGATAAGATCTCGGACAAGTTCTAACTTGACGCATTTTCGATGAACGGATTTTGAGTAATTGCCCTTGACTTTGTTAAAAAGCGTCGAAATTTGTTAAAAATAGTTCGTGAGCAGGATTGAAGCTACAGTTTTCAACCGATTCTGATGAAACTTGGTGTGATCATTGGAATTGATAAGATCTCGGACAAGTTCTAACTTGACGCATTTTCGATGAACGGTTTTTGAGTTATTGCCCTTGACTTTGTTAAAACGCGTCAAAATTTGTTAAAAATAGTTTGTGAGCAGTATTGAAGCTACAGTTTTCAACCGATTCTGATGAAACTTGGTGTGATCATTGGAATTGATAAGATCTCGGACAAGTTCTAACTTGACGCATTTTCGATGAACGGTTTTTGAGTTATTACCCTTGACTTTGTTAAAAAGTGTTGAAATTTGTTAAAAATAGTTCGTGAGCAGGATTGAAGCTACAGTTTTCAACCTATTCTCATGAAACTTGGTGTAATCATTGGAATTGATAAGATCTCGGACAAGTTCTAACTTGACGCATTTTTGATGAACGGTTTTTGAGTTATTGCCCTTGACTTTGTTAAAACGTGTTGAAATTTGTTAAAAATAGTTTGTGAGCAGGATTGAAGCTACAGTTTTCAACCGATTCTGATGAAACTTGGTGTGATCATTGGAATTGAGAAATATGAGAAAATTCGTACTTTAGTCACTAAAGACTGTTTTATTATTTCTGACAGCTGCCAGTGAGCGTATGTTACCTTGCAACGCAAGCTATCTTTATACTACCACATCTCTTTATGTTATCTTCATATAGACATTTTTATAAATCCTTCTCTTTCATTTGATTATATTATATATTTCAGTTTAATGATGTATTGTTATATACAGTATCAGTAGCTAGTGGTTATAAACTCAACCAAATTTTACCTGTCAGTGGAATGAAGGTATGCTAGGTTCAAATCTTATTCTCTTCTGTTCAGTGAGTTTTTAGTTCATAGAGCATTACTGAGTGACATTTTACAATAAGTTTCTGTTATTGACTGACTGTAGAAACTATAGAGACTACAGTTTTTATCTGATTTTGATAAAACTGGGTGTGATGCTTTAGATTGATAAGATCTCGGTCAAGTTCGAATTTGACATATTTTCGATGAACGGTTTTTGAGATATTGCCCTTGACTTAGAACGCCTTGAAATTTGTTAAAAATTGTTCGTGAGCAGGATTGAAGCTACAATTTTCATCCGATTCTGATGAAACTTGGTGTGATCATTGGAATTGATAAGATCTTGGACAAGTTTTAACTTGACGCATTTTCGATGAACGATTTTTGAGTTATTGCCTTTGACTTTGTTAAAATGCGTCCAAATTTGTTAAAAATAGTTTGTGAGCAGGATTGAAGCTACAGTTCAACATGTGTAAAAAGTCGAAAATCGGCTCTAGAAGGCGCATTTTTGCATCGATTTTCTTTGGGTTTTCATTTTTACAATCTACCTCGCTCACTTTTTTCGATCAGATTTTTCGATTTTTTTGCAACTTTTTTGCTTTTGCATCGATTGATCTGAAACGTTAAATGCAAAGAGACTTTACTAATGTAAACAATATGGTACAGTCAGATTTTGTACGTCAGTTCCGCTTTTGAACAGGAAAGCGACTGAATTTCAAATCTACTTCCGGTTGAATAACTTCCGGTGTATGTAGGTCAACAAAATTTAGCTGATCTTTAGCAAATAAAATTCTATAGCACATTTTAGAATAAAATCCAGACTGGAAGTATTGAATAAACACACTTTTGTAAATCGAAAAATGGGGCCTCTATGAAGGGGCGTTTATAATTTTGATGTGTATGTAATCTACAATCGATTGCCAACAAACACTAGAAAGCCGATTTTTGAATTTCGCTTTTCCTTTTTTGCAAGTTCTATCTCGTGACCTTGACCCTTGATGACCTTGACCTTTATAGGGTCAAAGGACATTGACCTTGGCTATCATTTGAAACTTTTACCTTTGACCCCGACATGTACTTCCGGTTTTATAGCTATCCGTAAAAAGCCAAATTCGCAACTTTGGACTGCTCTAGCACGTGACCTAATTAACCTAGAGGGTTAATTTTTTCGGTTTCCTGATGTGCTTCTCATGCACTTTACATAGATATAGAACAATTGCTTTTTTAAAGCAAAATTGAAATTCGTGATTTTTTCAAATTTGAGTTTTGTTTTACCATATTTGTGTCTTTTTGATCCTGGTGTATGTATATCTTATGACCTATTTTATGTAGAACCTTGATATTTGGAATACAACTAGACACTTTGAATATGAATTCACCTATGACAAAAAAATTGGGGTGGGCGTGGTACATCCGGGTTGAATTACTAATTGTTTACATTTTGGGGCTGGGGCATAACTCGCATAGGATACGTTTGTTAAAAAAGGGACTTTGCACACAATTACCTCATCCTTTTGGCCAGTTTGTGTTAACAGCTCAGTTGTTTCAGCTTTATAGTTTCAAAAAAGGAACGGGTTTTAACATTTGGATATTTTCATTTTTCAATTTTGACCTTAATGTAGAAGCTTGAAATTTAAAACACAACATAACATTTGAAATATCAATTACCCAATGAAAAAAAATTAAGGTGGGCGTGGCACATCTGGGTTATATTACTCATTATTGACATTTTTGGCCAGGAGCATAACTCGCAAAGTATACGTTTGTTCAAAATGGAACTTTGCATACAATTATATCACGTTTTGAGCCACGTTATCTTAGAAGTTTGGTTGTTTCCGCTTCATAGTTCAAAAAAAGGAACAGGTTTTGGAAATTCAAAATTTTTAATTTTTGACCTTGACCTTTGTTGACCTTGACCATTGTAGGATCAAATGTCATTGGCATTGGCTATCTATTTATACTTTTATATTTGCCGTCCTATGTCAACTTCCGGTTTTATAGTCGTATGCAATTAAAAATTTTGATGACGTATATCTCTTGATCAAAGGTCATTGACCTTGGCTATCTGCTGATACTTTCATTTGTGAGATCTGACGTCTACTTCCGGTATTAGAATCTTCTAAAAAATGAAAATTTCTCAACATTAGACAGTTCTTGCGCTTGACCTCATTATCGTCGATGGTTGATTTTTTCGGGGTCTTTAGCAAAATGCTACATTTGCAAAGTCCCACTCTGTGCCACGTGTGGCTCTAGTATTATATATTGTAAATATTCAGGTTAGCAAGTCGTTACACCTAGTCGTTAAACTGCATGTAATAAACATTGTTTTATATTATATATTGTAATTATTCAGGTTAGCAAGCCGTTACACCTAGTCGTTAAACTGCATGTAATAAACATTGTTTTATATTATATATTGTAATTATTCAGGTTAGCAAGCCCTTACACCTAGTCGTTAAACTGCATGTAATAAACATTGTTTTATATTATATATTGTATTTATTCAGGTTAGCAAGCCGTTACACCTAGTCGTTAAACTGCATGTAATAAACATTGTTTTATATTATTTATTGTAATTATTCAGGTTAGCAAGCCGTTACACCTAGTCGTTAAACTGCATGTAATAAACATTGTTTTATATTATATATTGTAATTATTCAGGTTAGCAAGCCCTTACACCTAGTCGTTAAACTGCATGTAATAAACATTGTTTTATATTATATATTGTATTTATTCAGGTTAGCAAGCCGTTACACCTAGTCGTTAAACTGCATGTAATAAACATTGTTTTATATTATATATTGTATTTATTCAGGTTAGCAAGCCGTTAGCAGAAGATTTTAAAAATGAGTTCAGTATTTTAAGTGTACAGAGATCTTTTACAGTGGCTGCCAGGTAAATCTCTTTAACTTTTAATTGAATTTTACAAGTCAACAATAAGTCTATCCAGAGAGTCCACATAGCTAATAATATAATATTATATTAAGAAAATTATCTTATTTACAATAACAGCACACCTGAAGAAAGAGATGATTGGTTAAAAACATTATCCAATGTTATCGAGGAGGCTGCCCAGAGAAAAAATACTTTTCAAACAGTAAAATTACATGCTACTCCTCAGGTAAAATTTCATTTTTAACTTTGACTGGGTACAAAAACAGCCTTTTTTATTTAATTTTATCTTGAAGTTTAAAATGTATATCTCTGTCTAAATGTAGAAATATTAGAGTTAATTGATTTGAGTTCTGCATGTCCTAGTAGATAGATGTAGTTCAATTTCTTGTAATTCTCTTCTTTATTGAAATAGAAATGTAAAAACTGAATAAAAATTTGGATAATCTGAGAATGAAATTGAGATCATTTGAGAATGAGTAGCGTCTGTAATTTGAATGCATTATAAGCATGATGTATATACAACTGTATATTTCTATTTCTATCTAGACCTCTCTATTAGATAAAGATTTTATTGTGGGTCATAAAGCTCCATTGATGGTACCTGATGCCAGGGTTACTATGTGTATGTTATGTCTTGGTGAATTTACTATAACTTGGAGACGTCATCATTGTCGAGCTTGTGGCAGAGTAAGTTCCCTTTAATCTGTATTGAACTAAATGGTAACACTCGTCTAGAGTGTTTGAACAGGTTCTATTTTGTTTTATGGAATGTCCAGTTGTTTCCATAAACTTACAGAAATTTCAATTCTTATTTTATCTGAATCAAAGTTAGTCTGTCCTGTAATTTACTCTAATATGTTTCTGTGTTTTTCTATTTATATTCTTTATCTTTGAATAAAATATTCATGGTTTTATTTCTCCAGTTTTTACCAACATTTGAATTTACTGGCTTTTTTGATTATGTTTTTTTTAGCTTTATTGATATTCTTGTAAACTGATATTAGGTATATTAATATTATATATGTCAGTAAAATTGGTTGTTAATATATATATATATATATTTGTAGGTTGTCTGTGGAAATTGTTCTGAGAACAAGGCACCATTACGATATTTAAAATACAAGTCCGCTAGAGTTTGTTCTGAATGTTATGTTAAAATAGAATCAGGTAGGCTATATTCTCTTGTTTATTTGATTTATAAATATATAGAAACTTGGTGAATATATAAGATTGAGTTAAATATAATTTTATATCAACAGAGATAGACCGAGGTGAAATAGATTCAAAATGTGATGAGTCAGATATTACCAGCTCTACACCAGTCAGTTTAACCAATCTAAAAGCCAGGTTTGAGAAGATAAGAAAGAGTGCTCGAAGTAATAAAGGTGTTATAAAACGACCAGCTGTACTGAAAGAGGTATATCATTATTTAACTGTTTTGTTATATCAATATCTAGCTTGTTAGAATACTTTTTACAACCAACTTTATCTAGTTTGATTTAAGATGATTAATAAGAGTTGTTATATGACTAACTACTGTTCATCTCTCTCTTGATTTTAAATTTCAGGTTCACGCGAATGATGAAGGATCCGATATGAGTGGATATTTAAAAAGTTATAAAAATAAGAAATGGAAGAAGATGTGGTATGTGGTAAAAGATAAAGTATTATATACATATCGAGCTAGTGAAGATATGGCTGCTGTAGAAAGTTTACCGTTATTAGGATATGAGGTGGCTAGAGCTACTGCTGTAAGTTTCAGTTAATATATTTCCTTGGTTAGATTTTAATATCAAACATCCTTCTGTTTACTGAAAACTTTATGATGAGAATGAAGAGTTAATATATTGATAACTCTAGAGTAGCCCTGTGTCTGTTTTCATCCTCTATCACAAAGTCTGTTGTATCACAGAATGTAAAAATAAACTCAGATGTAATTGTTATTGTAATTATTAATAATTTAATCTGGATGTTAGATAATATATTTTCTGTTTATATTACAGCCTCAGTTAGTAAGTTATATTGTATAATGATATTACTTAGTATAGTTGTAAGATCTCAATAGATATTTTTATCAGTCTAGTATATTATTCTTCATGGTGTTTTCTCCAACTTCATTCCAATTTCATTTTTAATAAGCTATATTTTTAGATATATTCATTTGATAGTGAAATATGCTGTGGGAAAGTGTTTCTACAGAGAATTATTTTATAAGCTTTTAATACATTTAACTTCACAATTGTCTGCTTTCACCTTTTAATATCTCTCCCAGCAATATACCTTATATTAATTATAATCTTTACAATTGGATATAAAAATTTCTAAATTGCTCTACATTTGTATTGAGCACTATTTAAACAGTCAAAATAATTATTTTATTCTAAATCAATAGTTGTATATTATTTCCACTTTCATTGATTCATTGTGGATTCTAGATGGCTTCTTCTAATCAGTGGATTCTAGGTGGCTTCTGTCTGATCAGTAGATTCTAGATTGGCTTCTGTCTGATCAGTGGATTCTAGATGGCTTCTTCTAATCAGTGGATTCTAGGTGGCTTCTGTCTGATCAGTAGATTCTAGATTGGCTTCTGTCTGATGAGTGGATTCTAGATGGCTTCTGTCTGATCAGTAGATTCTAGGTGGCTTCTGTCTGATCAGTGGATTCTAGGTGGCTTCTGTCTGATCAGTGGATTCTAGCTGGCTTCTGTCTGATCAGTGGATTCTAGCTGGCTTCTGTCTGATCAGTAGATTCTAGGTGGCTTCTGTCTGATCAGTGGATTCTAGGTGGCGTCTGTCTGATCAGTGGATACTAGATGGCTTCTGTCTGATCAGTGGATTCTAGGTGGCGTCTGTCTGATCAGTAGATTCTAGATTGGCTTCTGTCTGATGAGTGGATTCTAGATGGCTTCTGTCTGATCAGTAGATTCTAGGTGGCTTCTGTCTGATCAGTGGATTCTAGGTGGCGTCTGTCTGATCAGTGGATACTAGATGGCTTCTGTCTGTATAATGTATAGTATAGTGTTTTTCTAGAGCTTTTCTAGATTTG